CTGCATGAGGAGGCTTCCAAGAAGACGGGGATAGGTGATATTTAGAGAAGTAGAGAGAAAGATGGAGTGTGTCCTGGGAAAGAAAAGGGATGTGGTCCATTCTAAGGCCAGGAGCACACCAAGAAATTATATTATAAATTTCTCACTTTGATGGCCTAGAAAAGCTTTTCAGTGTGGGAGAAGGGATAATGCACTGCACTTTGACAATATCCTCGGAAATTTACATGTTGAAAGCTTACCCCATTGCATCAGTGTGAAGGCGGTTTAGGGTCTAGTAAGAGACTAAGCCATGAAGGCAAAGTACTCATGACAGGGTAGCAAAATTGTCAATTTGATTGGATTAGAAGCCACCAAGGGAACTATCAAAGCACACTTCTGGGTATGTCCAGGTCAGTCATGGAGGCACTGCCTTTGGAACGACAGCTGGGCCCTCCCCCCTTTCTCTCTGTGCCATCCCTTACTCTACTTCCCAGACACCATGAAGTAGGCAGCCTTGCTTCACTACACATTCCTTCCATCATGTTTCTGCCTTGGAGCCAGCTGACCATGGGCTAAATTCCATGAAAACATAAGCGAACAATCCATTTCTTCCTTTGAAAATGCAAGTGTCAGATATTTTGTTAAAAAACATAAGCGTGGACAATACAGTTGGATTGAAGTTACAAAGGGATTGCTCATTAGGAAGTTGAGTCTAGATCTCATTCTTTCTCTCACGGATACTCACTTGCTCTCCTGCCATGTTAAGGTGCAGCACAAAGGCCCTCACCAGATGAAGGTCCCACACTCAAGACAAAGGATAGCATGCAGGGCTTAATACACATAAAAAGGATTCTTTGCTGCATCTGCTTTGTTTCTATTTCAGCCTACAAACATCTACAGATGGGAATGGGAATTTTTCTGAGAGTGGATGTATCTGAACATGTTCTCAATTCAGGTGTTGGTACATCGCTGCAGGTACTGGCTATCTCCTCCAAACACCACCTGCTTACATGGATCTGAGTTCATCCTAGAAACAACAGTCTGGGTATTTCCATCTAGTCCTATTAGCTGACACCCTAGAGGAATGGTCTGATTTCTTTTCCTCCTGAAAACCCTCTGATTCACATCTATAAGCCTTTCTTCTCCAAACTGAGAATCCCATTTCCTTCTTCATGTGGCAAAAGTATCTCATGCCTTTACTCATCAAGTTCAAGTCATTTAAGCTACTGCCAAAAGATGAAAATATGCGTTCTATTTCAAATGAGCCTTGGCAATCCATTACTAGATGTCTGCTCATTCCTGCAGTGATCTTTAGGCTAATCCAAGTATCTAACCTTAGACAAACCTCTTTTCCTGTGAGACTTTCAGAAGAAGTAGAAGGCACTTGGGAACTGTCTTCTGCACTACAGACCCAGGAATCATCCATACAGATTAAGCATGATGCAGAAATTTTCTTTCCAAATTAGCACATTTCTTTTTTTTTTTAACTGTTACTGGAAAAATTTAATGAAGTTCAATATATACACATATTTAGCTATAGTAAGTTTTCACTTCAGTATATCATATTAAATATAATCTTAACACAAGTAATTATATGAGCACCCTAAACATACAGTATGGAATGTTCATAGTAACACTGCCTGTGATTAAAAAGAAAATATTACCTATTCAGCAATTGTAAAATTAATTTATGAACTTTAGGATATTAGCACGAGGATATAAAGCATAGACTTGAACAGTGAACGAGCAACTACAAAGACATGTGTAGCTCAAATTGCTAGTGTAACAATAAGAGAAGGCAAAACAGACAATGGCAAACTGTATAATTCTACTTCTACAAAGTGCAAAATAAACCATCTATTGGGTCATACCATTGGTTCATATATTGATATAATGAATAAGTATGAATCTTTTGGGTTATGTTTTCTGTTCCTTTTATGAAGTCCAGAGTTATGTTCAACTTGTAATTTTATGTCTCCCATATTTACATATATATGTATGTATGTATTTACATACTTTCTTAGTACATTTTTGCAGTACATAATGACTTCATTCACTGTAGGAAGTCCATACATGAACATAATTGCATTTTAATTCTTTTTATTTCTCCTCTCCTACAAAAGCTTCTTTTTTTATTTGTACTATACTGCAGTAACAAAGTCAAAAGTAAGAATTAAAGAGAAGATCCCATATTAGTTTCCTATTGTTCCCACGACAAAGTGCCATAAACTTAGTGAATCATAACATAAATCTATTATCTTCCAGTTATATAGGGTTTTTTTTGTTTTGTTTTGTTTTTTGGTGGAACCAGGGATTGAACTTAGGCCCTTGCGCTTGCCAGGCAAGTGCTTATTCTACTGAGCTATCTCCTTGGCCCCTATATAGTTTTATATAACTGTTTTATATTGCCGCTGTGCACTGCCTAAGCAGGAAATTTAATCTGCTAAACTAGTTGGCCAGCCCTTTGAAATGTGCTAATTTATATTTTGTCCTGTAAAATTAGCACATTTCACAGGGCTGGCCGACTTGCTAGCAGATTAAAGTACCTGCTTAGGCAGAGCAAGCGGCCAAGGTTTGATCCCCACCCTGCCCTGCCGTTCCGGCCCTGACCCCTAGGGAACACTGAGACAGTGATTGAGATTAGGCATGGTGGCACATGCCTGTAATCCCAGCTCTTGGGAGGCTAAGCACAAATGGATCACTATGAGTCTGATCTACATGAGATTTTGTAGACCCTGTAGACCCTGCACTGAATACAAAAAAGAAAGAAAAAAAACAAATTAGCACATTTCAGACCTGACTGTGCACAGGGTCAGCTGGGGGTCATGTTCAAATGGAGGTGTTAGCCACTTGTGATGGTACATGCATGTAATCCCAGGATAATCTCAACTGCAAGACCATCCAGAGCACTGCTTCTCCCACCATCATACAAAGAGGGTGGACACATGACACCCATGGGGCCCTGGGGACCCTTGCTCTGGCCCCTCCCACCATTGTCACCAGAGTTTGACTGAGCTGCATCCCCCTCTCCTACCGATATCAGGAGCCTTGGTGAGACCTACCCTGCCCTCCCACTGCTCTGAGTGTCTTGCTCATTCAACCCCACCCCCTACTGCTGAGTCTGAGTGAACAATGGAAGCTTTAAAAATGTCAAAAGAAAGGAGCAAACAGCGATCTCAGACCTCCAACCCACCAAGAACAGGTTCAGGTGATAAAGTTATAGAACTTGAAAGTCTCACACCTGAAATTTCTGAAATGATAACAACTGACATAAAGATAAAAGTCCATCAGACTAAAGAAGAAATCAGATCAGAAATAATCTCCCAGGCTAAAAAAAAAATGACAATAATCATGAAAGAATTACTCAGCACATTGAAAGAATACATAAACAAAAAAAAATAGAAGGAAAAAGGAAAATGATGGAAACATTGAACAAACAATTCAGGAAGAAACTAGGATGCATGAAACATATTCAAAAGATATCCAGGAAATTAAGAATTCCATTGAAAGCTGACAAATTCCACTTCAACAAAACTAAAGACAGAATTTCAAACATTGAAGATAGCATTGCAGCTAGGGACTGTGAAAGCAGAGATCTCTAAAGTAACAAGGAACCAAGAAATAATAATGCAACAGCTGCAAGATGATGCAAAGAAAAACAATATAAGACTAGTAGGTGTCACAGCTGGCCAGATAGCTCAGTGAACTAAAGTGCTGGCTTAGGCAAAGTGCAGGGACCGGGTTTGATCCCTGGCGCCACATGCCATGCCAGTCCCACCCCAAGGGTGCACTGAGACAGCTATTGAGACTGGGCGTGGTGGTGTGCACCTGTAATCCCAGCACTTGGGATAAGAAACAATACTCCATGTGACAGAATCCCAGAAAAAAAGCAGGGGTAGCTATTCTGGCTGCTGATAATGTCAACTTCAAATTAAGAATGACTAAAAGAGATAAAGAAGGCCACTACATACTTGTTAGAGGACAACTGCAAGAGGAAGAAGAGATAATGATCTTAAATATATATGCACCCATGTAGGAGCACCCAACTACATAAGACAAATCTTAACAGACATGAAAAAATCAAATAAACAATTGTAATGGGGGACTTGAAGATGCCACTGTCACAAAGAGATAGATCTAGGCAAAAAATCACCAAAGAAATAACAGAACTAAACCAGACCTGGGAAGAAATGGACTTAGTAGAACTTTACAGAGTGTTCTACCCAGCAATGTCAAAAAGAAACATTGTTCTCTGCTGCACATGGGGAATTCTCCAAAATAGACTACATACTGCCACATAGAGTGTGCTTAAGTAAATGCAAAGGAAGTGCAATTATCCCATACATATTTTCTGACTGTAGTGCAATGAAACTGGAAATTACTGTCAAAAATCCCTCTAAAGTCCTCATAAACACATTGGAAACTAAATAACAACCTCCTGAATAATCAGTGGGTCATAGATGAAATTAAAGAAGAAATAGAACAATATTTACAATCAAATGAAAAATGTAGATAAAATTTACCTAAACATGTGGGATACAATAAACACAGTCTAAAGAGGGAAATTTAAATTCACACATTAAGAACAGAACAAGCCCAAATAATCTTATGATGCACCTCAAACTCCTAGAAAAAGAAGAGCAAGTCAAGACCAAAGCCCAAAGAAGGGAGGAAATTATAAAAAGCAGAGCAGAAATCAATGCAATGGAGGCAAAGAAAACAATGAAAAGAATTAATGAAGAGTTGATTCTTTGAAAGAATAAATATATATGTAGATAGATAGATAGAAAGATAGATAGATAGATAGATAGATAGATAGATAGATAGATAGATAGATAAATAGATATGTGTGTATACATATATGCATCCTTTTTTTTTCTTTTACAGTCCACACAAGTGTTTATTTGTCAAGAGAATGTAAGTATTCCTTAGCCCACATATTCATGTTTCACAGTTCAGGAATACTGATCAGCAACAAACGTCTATGGAACTCAACCCAAAGCAACCTTTTTATTCCAGTATCACTTTGCACTCTGAAAGATACCAGCCTTCCTCATTTCTTCAAAATCTTTCATGGAATCATAATTTCTGTACAAATCGGCATATGCCTTCTTTCTTGGTTCAACCACACCAAACTTATAGAGAGCTGCAACCCCCAGAGAGACAAGGAATGCTCCAATAATATGAATCTGGCCAGAAGCCTCCAAATCTAGGGTTTTGCCAATGCACTGGAACTCATGGTTGTTACCATCCCCCACACCAACCAAGAATAAATAAAATTGATAAGCCCCTAGTAAACCTTATTTTAAAAAGGAGAGAAAAAATTCAAATTCATGCAAGAAATAAAAAGGTGACATTAATACAAACTATAGAAATTCAGAAGATCATTGACACCTACTTCCAAAATCTACTACCACAGGATGGGAAACAGAAGAAATGGACAGATTCCTAGATACATATAAATTACCAAAGCTGGATCAAGAAAATACAAAACTTCTGAATAACCCAATATCGATGAATGAAACTGAAATTGTAATTTTAAAAAAATCTAGCAACAATGGAAAGCCCAGGTCTTGATGGATCCACAGCTGAATTTTACAAGAAATTTAAAGAAGTTTTAATGCCAGCTATTCTCAAACTCTTCAATGAATTGAAAGGGCAGCAATTCTCCCAAATTCAATCATGAAAGCAAGTATTACTCTTAGCCCAAAACCAGAGAAAGCCACAAAAAAAGAGAAGTACAGAACAATCTCCCTAATGAACATGCATGTAAAAATCTTCAATAAAATAATAGCAAACAGAATGTAGCAAATCCTCAAGAAAATCACACTTCACCACCAACTGGGACTCATCCCAGGAATGCAGGGATGATTAAATATAAGCAAATTCAGAAATGCAATATACTACATCAGTAAGCCAAAGCCAAAAATTCACATGATCATCTTAACAGATGCAGAAAAGCTTTTGATGGAGTCCAGTCTTCATTCATGATAAAAATTCTATAGAAAATCAAAAGAGATGGTCTTTACCTCAACCTGACAAAAGGCATTTATGACAAACCAAAAACCAACATCATACTAAGTGGACAAACCCTCAAAGCCTTCACTTTAAAATCAGGAATCATCATAATCCCTGACTTGAAATTATAGTACAAAGCTGCTGCGATAAAACCATGGTGCTGGCAAAAAAAAGACCTGAGGATCAATGAAATAGATTAGAAGACGCAGACACAACTACAAGAAAAGGATATCCATTGTCCCACTCCTATTCAATATAGTTCTGGAAACATCTGTCAGAGTAATTAGACATTAGAGAAATAAAAGGAATAATGACAGGAAAGGGAGAAGTGAAACTGTCATTATTTGCAATCAACATGATACTCTATATAGAAGACCCCAAAAACTCCACCAAGAGACTGTAGATTTAATAATCAAATTCAGTAGCATAGCAGGATACAAAGTCAACACTCAAAAATCAATTGCATTTCTATACAGAAACAATAAATGCATCAAGAGAGAAGTTAGGAAAACTATGCTTTTCACAATAATAATCAAAAACATGAAATACTTAGCAATCAATCTCACAAAAGAAGTAAATGATTTATACAGTGAAAATGATAATACTCTGAAAAAAGAAGAGAATTTCAGAAAATAGAAAGATATTCCTTGTTCCTGGATAGGAAGAACCAATATTGTGAAAAATGTCCATACTCCAAAAATCATTATATAGATTCAACGCAATCCAAACTAAAATACCATCAGCATACCTCACAGATCTAGAGAAAAATATTTCTAAAATTCATCTGAAACCAGAAGAGACCTAGACTATCAAAAGCAACTCTGGGCAACAAAGTAAAGCAGGAGGATCACAATCCCTGACTTGAAACTATACTACAAAGCTACAGTGATAAAATCATATACTGGCCAAAGGGGGAGGGGGGGGAAACAGACCTGAGGATCAATAAAATAGATTAGAAGATGCAGACACAACTACAAACACACTCAGCCACCTTATCCTTGACAAAGGGACCAAACATTTTCATTGGAAGAAAGCCTCTTTAACAAATGCTGCTGGAAAACCTGGCTTTCCACATTCCAAAAGCTAAAATTAGACCCATGTCTATCATCATTCATAATCCTACAATCAAAACGTATTAAGGATTCAAATATTAAAACTGAAACTCTAAATCTTCTTGAGGAGAAAGTAGGTAGAAATCTTAAAAATATAGGGGTATGTAGAGTTTTTTTTAAAAAAATTGCATGAGAAATACCTCAACTAATCAACAATTGGGATCTTATCTTTTGTCTTTCAGTGTCTAACCCAAAGCCTTGTGCAGTCTTTTTTTTCCCCCAGAACCAGGGATTGAACTCAGGTCCTTGTGCTTGCCAGGTAAGTGCTTACTCTACTGAGCTATCTCCCCAGCCCCTGGGATCTTATCTTTTTGAAAAGTTTCTACACATGAAAAGAAATCACCAATAGAGTAAATAGAAAACCCATGAATTGGGAAAAAATGAAAGCTGAGTGTCCCTTAGATAAAAGCCTTCTATCTAGAAATATAAAGAACTAAAAAAATCAGGCCCCCTAAATTTGAAGACCCAATCCAAAAATGGGCATTGAGATGAACATATATTTCACAAAAAGAAATACAAATGGCAAACAAATATATGAAAAAATGTTCAAAATTATTCATCATTCAAGAGATGCAAATTAAAACAATGCTGAGATTCTATCTTACCCCAGAAAGAATGGCTGTCATCAAGAAGTCAACCAATAACAAGTGCTGGATTGTTGCTGGGAAAGAGGAACCCTTCTCCACTGGTGGGAGTAGACTGGCACAACCACTATGGAAATCAGCATGGAGATTCCTCAGAAAGGTAGGGTTGGAGGTACCCATTCAGTCCAGCTATTCTCCTCCTAGGTATTTTTCTAAAAGAATTGAAACATCATAGCACAGTAACTTATTTGTGCACAATTTGTTTATAGCAAATATGTGCACAATTTGTCATAAGCAAATCTTGGAAACAACCCAAATGTCCGTCAACTGAGCAATGGATGCAAAAAGATGTCATAATTTAAAAATTTTAAAAAAGATGTCATAATTTTATACAATGGAGTATTATTCTATGAAGTTAAAACTATATAGTTTTAAACTATAAAAAGATAAAGAGAAAGCTTTTATAGGTAAATGGATGCAATTAGAGACCATATTGGTAAATAAACTCAATCAGACACACATGTGCGAACATACTGTCTCACTAGCAAAAGAATTTGAAAAAGTAACAAAATCTGAAAAGTACAAAAGATACTGTGAAAGTGAAAGAATCTCCAATGGGAAGGAAAAACTGGGATGAGGAAAAGAAAAGATGTGAAAAAGATATATTTATATCTTTTTCCTGCCTGTGTACATGCAGGATAGCTTGGATAACTGTCCTACTGAGTTCTACTGGTCTATTGAAAGGTACAGTTAATGTTTAAAGATTTTCTTTCTCTTTTTCTCCTTTTTTTCATTTTCCAGTTTTGCATGTTTATATCTAGTAAACTGAACAACCAATTTGAAGATAATATGATGTAATACATCAACCACTGTTGAATTTCTATTATTTTGTTTGGTGAAATTCTGTATCTTTTCTAAGGCTTTCTCTCTTTTTCTTTCACCATTTCATATTCTCTTTAAACAATAAAAAAATAAAAACAGACCAGCCAGAGCAATTTAGTGAGATTATGTCTTTAAAAAAAAAATAAAATAACAACAAAACAGAAAATCAAAGTAACAACTCAAAACCCTCAGGCTTTCTCAGTGATGGCAGAAAGGGGTGCTGTAGCCAATTCTGCGTCTCTAGCAAGCTCCCAAGTGATGCTGGTGGTTTTGTCCCTGTGACCACATGTTGGGCCATGGGTGTGAAAGGACATGTGCCCACTTCTGAAGGGAAAAGCCTAGTGTACTTTCTGAGAAAAGCACTCTCTGGAAAGACCTGGGTGATTCTGCACTTGCATGCTATAGAATTTAGTGCTCACTCCTTTTGTTTTATTTCAGCAACTGTGGGAGAGAACTTTAAAACCCAATGTTTTCAAATGACAGCTATTGGGGGTGTACACAGGCAAGACTGTCCAAGGGAGAGAGAGAGAGAGAGAGAGAGAGAGAGAGAGAGAGAGAGAGGAGAGAGATCGATTTACCCCATCACATCTTTGGATCTATAATACGAACTCAGCCTGTAGGTAGAACTGAACTTAAGCTGCTCAATTTCAAAGATTTTGATTCTAGCTCCTTGTAATATCTTGCACTCACGAAAGCATGTGCACGTGCATGCACGCACATACACACACACACACACACACACACACACACACACACACACACCAGTGTGTATAGATAAAAGATCAGCTCAGGCACACGCTGTCAGCACTGCTATGTCCAAAAGCATAAATCATCACATCATTAACAACTGTCTGAAGGCTGAACACATCAAAATACATCAAGTAAATGAAAGCAAGGTTAGGACAGCAGGCCTCTGGCCAGGACTTGGATGCCCACTGGCCTGGGCTCCCCTAGGCAGAGCCACATCTTCTCACATTCTCCCTCCAGCTTTTCACAAGCCTGGCACAGATGAGCTGCTAGGTGCAGGGCTGCCAAACAAGATGAAACCTGGTCAGGAGGTCACAGAGGACCCCAAAAGAAACTGCCATGCTGCCAGAACTCTCCTCCTCTTTCCCTAAGTCAAAGAGCTTTTCTGTGGGACAGTTAAAGGCGTGCCCTTGGTTTGGCATTTAATCTTCTAAACCAGATGGTAGATTGGGGACCATCTAAGGATCACAAACTGGAGGCAGGTGTGTTTGGATTGGCAAGAAGGGTGTTTAAAAATAAATGACCTGAATTCACATGGGAACAGTTCCCCGGGATCACAGGAATCCCTGTTGCTCACACCAGACATGCTGCATTCCACCCCCACAGGCACATGTGACAGGACACTCAACACACCTGCCACAGCTGGACTCCATGTGCCTCCCAGGAACCTGCTCCTGCTAGGCTCATCGTTTCTGTAAAGGGGACCTTTATATGTCCTCTGTCCTCCTGACCAGAGCTGATGTTACTTCACTCCTGTTCTTTCCTCCACCGGTAAAAAGCTTCACCTCTAAAATAGACTCCAACTATACCATTCCTTCATGCTCCTCTCTTGAATCTCCAGCCCCAACACCCACATAGCTGGGGCT